ATGCCTCATGATATTTTGGGAAGCAATTGGAGAGCTCAGCAGTTTTTGCCTGGGCTGCCTCTCCCCCAATTTTGGGTTTTCCGGGTGGATGGAAAGAGGCATCTGGTTTTCTCAGTCTGACTTGACCTGTCGCTAAACACTGCCCATCCATCTGCAGAAATGCAGCAAAGGGTTTGCCTTGGGACTGTGCAGCTTTTCAGCCTTTCCAAGAGGAAAGGACTGGTGTTCATTTCCAATTTTTTAAAATGTATGTGTTTTAAAAATATGTTCATGTCTCCAGATGGCCATCTGTCAGGGTGCTTTGACTGAGAGAGTTCCTGCATGGCACAATGGGGTTGGACTGGATGGCCCCTGGGGTTCTCTTCCAGCTCTAGGATTCTTCAACCCCAGAGTTTTAAGAATAACCGGATTGCAAAGAAGGAGAGTCCAGAAAGCGGCACGATGTGCATTTAGAATAATCCCACAAGCTCCCTGGTTTTTGCAGCTGAATGTCAGGCCGGTGAAGATAGAAACGCCGCCGTGGCCAGAGAGAGCGCAAGGCTGCCCATGACTCCCAGCTGCAATCCACAATGCTGGCAGGAAAATGGAGCAGGACATTGTCAAGGTGGACCGGGTGGTTCTGCTCTGTCCGTCCTTCCCGTACCGTGGGACAAGGGAGACAGACGGTGTGGCAAGCAGGACAGGCCTCAGGACACGAAGAAAGGAGCCTTGCATCTCACATCTCTGCAAAAGGAAGGAGGAGAAGAATTTGGGAAAAGAACGCCAATGTAAATGGAGGAGGGGAAGAAGCCACTGCATCTCGGTCTCCCTCCTTTTCAATCCTGCCTTGCAGGACTTCTGCCCAGAGCAGCTTCTGAGGAGTGGCTCCATATTGTCCCAGCATGGCATACTGGGAATTGAACCCTGGTCTCCAGAACTGTAGCCCAATGCTCAAACCACTAGCCATGCTAGGAAAATATGGAGCCATTCCTCAGAAGCCGCAGCTGCAAATGGGCAAAAAAGGAGAGCAGAGAGCCACTCCTGATCTGCCCTGGCCCTAAAAGGCATCAAGAGATCCGGTCTCCATACCCACCTTCCAGCACTTTGTCCAGGTCAGCAATGAATTCCTCCAATTCCTGTGTGTCTCCAAGCTTGGCTGTGGGACAAAATTACAAACTGATTAACTGCCTGTATCCAAATGTGAACCGAAAATTCAAAGTTTCAGCATTCAAAATCTGAAATTCAGTTCTGGGGGGGGGGGGGGG